CCCACCTCTAAAAGGAATAGACAATATTAATAATTTTAAATATATAGAAATAAATCTAGAATATATTTGATTACCCCAAGACATAGTGTCAAATACTCTTGTAAAGTTAAAACACAGTGCTGTATAGATGTTTTAATTTTATTTTCCATGAAGTCCTGAGTATAAGGACTTTATTTCAATGTTTTTGTGTCCCCTACAGTGGCTAGCAAATTGCAGGCACATGGCAGATCCTGGACATATATGCTATAAAAGAATAATGATTTCTTGTATAACCAAAAATATAAAAAGTTTTGAGTTGAATTTTCCAGATAAGTTACTTGTTCATTAATGTACCAATAAATTATTAATTGAAGAGCAGCTGTTGAGTATCCAGTACAGGCCAAGCATAGTAGGTATTGGTATTTCGTGACAGTGAAAGGGTTACATAAATATCTAATTAGGCTGAGTCCCCTCTGTCAGTGTGAACTGGTCCAAAGTTTGGTACTTAGTCTTGAGTTCCACTTTGAAGAACACTCTCCAGCTACTCAGATGAAATCTAAGAGAGGAAGCCAGCAAGGTCTGGAGAAGCTCATAGAATATGATGTGCTCCAGGCAATGCTGAAGATCACAGACTCCAAAAATCCTGTCCTCTGAATCAAAGACCTATGATGAATGCATCAGTCACCAGGAGGACTGCAGCTTATTCAACAAGTGTTTTAATTGCCGGTTTTATGCAATGACTGTCACATTCCAGTCTCATAATTCATATTTTAGAGGCAGATGCTGGGCTACACAGTTCTCCTCTTAACACATGAAGGAATCCCTGCTATACCGAATGGTGGGCCTTAGACCTCTGTTTTTTATATGTCTCGGAGATGCATTAATAAATAACTGCAGCCCTACGTCATCTTGGGGAGTGAGAAATGACAAGTTCCTTTTAGAGTACTGACATTTAAGTCTTCTCAATGAAATAACACCGAACTCTGAATAAAGTGAATCTATTTCCTATGACAGTATCTGAGGGACACTAGAGGCTTAGAGACATACAGATTTTGGTAAATGCAACCCAAGACTGAAAGCCTATGAAGAGACTCCACCATCCTGGTTTATAGCCTCAAGAATATAATAGAGGATTTTATTCTGTTGAGACAGAATCATCAGACAGACAGGGAGGTGCCTGTCTGCACACCAGCAAGACCCAGCAGTCTCAGATTTGGCCTCATTCTCAGCCCTATCTAGCTCATTACCTCCTGCATTCTTCTCTGTGTGCTGCCAAAGCTCTCCCCAGGAAGGAGGCAAGCCTTCCCTCCAGGGAGGTCAGGAAGGATTGCAGAGCTTTGCTTCATGCAAACAGCACCTCTCCTACCCTCGGGGAAGGAGTTTTCACTCTCCTTGCTGTGTAGATGGACTGAGGAACTCCCAGGATGTAACAGCAGGTCATTGCCACATCAAATTTCCAGTACTAGACAGAGGCAGAGTGTTTATCTGAACTTAATTCCAATTTCAGTAACACGTTCATTGCCTCTTGTTTTTTATTTGAATTTAATTTTCATGGATCACAATTTCATTCAGAGGATCTATCTGGCAAAATCCATGATTCAATGGACTCCTGGTTCTTAGGTAACTCATAGAGAAGATCAATTCCCTCTCAATACATGAAGAATTAGGACCCAAGAAAGTCAAATGAGCAGGCAAAGTCAAGAAACCAGTTGGTGAAAGTGCTGAACTAGATACAAAGATATAGTATAGCTTACTAACACGTTTTAATTAGTAATAGGAAAATCTCAAGAATAACTCAAAAAACCTGTACAATAAAGTTTTTAGGGATTTTAGGTAAATGCAAGTTATTACAAATGACGTAATACAGGCCTATGAAAGAAGTTTTAGAGTCCTAAAGTCCTCCTGCTCTTTACTTTGTTTAAAATAATGCCTACATTGGCATAGCCATGAATGCAAGTTGTGTGCTGGTGGGTGGGTCTGGGGTATACCTGAAGGGGATGTCAGTGAGGCTTTCTGGAGATTTTAAGGTGATGACTTCTCTTGGGTTTTATTTGTGAAAACAATCTGGTGGTTTTGGTTTTCCTTGTCTTATGAGCTAGGGGAATCAGCCAGGACAGTACCTCCCGATTTTCTATGTGGTCATTATCCTTAATCCATTTAGACCACATTTAAGACCACTGTATCTTAAATGATTCCCCAGGGACTGCTCATGTGGTCGTCTGTGGGGAGGGAAATAGAGAGGTGTGTAGGCAAGCAATACTGGCCAGAATATTTCTTCTGAAAGCGTACATATGTCCAGTGTGAATTCACCACTGGAAAAATGCCATCTTTCCTATTTTAAGGTTTCCATGTCCTTTATGTCACTGAGCTGCTTCTTATTCTACTCTGTAGTGTGGAGAACAGAGATGACAGATAATGGATCCTGGGATTAGAATGTCTGATTTCAAATCCGGGCTCTGTGTTTACTAATGGCATGATTACGGGTAAAATGACTTTATCTGCCTACATTTGCTTCATACCTGTAAAATGATTTGAAAAATTTATCTAACTCAAATGACTGGTATGAGGACTAACTAGACACAATATGTACAAACTAGAGATACCACTAGGCATGAGTAGTCTCTTCCTGTTAGTTACTGTTAACGCTATCTGCTACTGTTACTATTACTGATACTGTTAACACTACTTGCTCATACAGCTCAGATTTTGGAAAGGTACGAGACCAATGGATCAGGAAATGCAAGACCTGGTCCAGGGTCTCACTTTCACATAACTGCATGAACCTGGGACAGTCACTTCATCCCAACTATGGAAGCAAGTACATCCTATGTCCTTAAATGAAATTGGGCCCCAGAGAGAAGAAAAAATCTCATCCAAAGTCCCCAGGGAATCAGTGTCTAGCCAGGATGAGCCAGGAACATTCCCTTGACTTCTAGCCCAGAGCTTCCCATCAGTACTTTGGACACAAATGATCTTGCCAAGTGTCCTAAGCTTTAATGAAGATCTGAGGACTCTGTGTTGGACAGGACAATGATTCCCAAACATGCTGCCTTGGGAACATGACCATCCCAGAAGCCGTGGATATATCATGGTTGGTTTTAAGTATATCAGAATAGAGTGGTTCCTTTAAAATGCTACTGCTTAAGGGACAGAGGATGTAGCTTAGTGGGAGGGTGTGTGCTTTGCAAGCATGAGGCCCTGGAGTCAATTCCCAGAAAGAGAAAAGCAATGTCTCCTGTAAGCCACTGAACCTAGGAAGATCTCTGTAAACCTATTCTAGCCAAACTGGACAAAGTTGGACAGGTTCTTAAAGTTCAATGACTTAAACACTGACTTTCTTTTTTTCCTTATTTGGTTCCTTTCAGAGCAGGTTACAGCAGCACTATCTCCAGTTCAGGCTGTTCAGGTCTCCTTTTGAACTCATATTATATGTTCATGTCATCCTTTTGTTCTCTCCTTGGATTCCCACTCAGATTCTGAGATCACTGCTGACTGTGTTGTTCCTGTTGGGTATGTAGGTTGGTTTGCCAGATCCTCTTTCTATTCTGTATCCTAGCCATGGCAGACATGCCACAAAGCCAGTGCTCTGGTTGTTATTCTAAACATGTCCCAGGCTCTGTCTCTGTGTTGTTGCATATCTTATGCTTCTTCATTGCTTCTCTGCTCAATTCCCACACTCTTATGATGTTCATAGAGCCTGTAGTGGTCTCCCTGCTTGGAAGTAGTCTTCTGTTCCTTAAAACCTTTTTTTTTTTTTTTTGGTGCTGAGGATAGAACTTGGGGCTGCTGCAATGAGTGATAGCCCCGATCCATTTTTTATTTTTTAATTTTGAGACAGTAGCTTGCTAAGTGTTTAAGTTGCCTAGGCCGGGTTCAAACTTGCTATCTTTCTGTCTCAGCTTTCCAGAGTTCTGGGATTACAAGTGTGTGCCACCAGGTCTGGCTTCTTTATATGAAATCCATATCAATTGTAACTGATAACTGTGTGTCTTAGTGGTTTTGCCTCCCTTAATAAAGCTCCTGAAGAATCACTCACAGAACATCTTTTTATCCCCTAAAGCATCTAGCAGAGCTCTTTGCCTATTGTAGAAGCTCAGTTAGATATGCTTTAGCAACCGTTGACTGGCTGGTGACATGGGAGTCAGGGTCTCAAGTCCTAGTCAAAAGGTTTCCCTTCATAACCAAAGGTGCTTCAGTCCCAAGTATCACTGTGTGTCTGTGGTGAATCAGTCAGGCAGCCATCTGTCTTTGGTTACAGGTATTGTGAGGCATTGCCTAGTGGTTTTGAGAATTCTACTTTTTAGAAATCTGGTATGATACATTTTGAAATTAAAGTAATTAAAAGTAATTTTGTTTTTCTTTTTCTGTTGGCAGAAACTGAGGATCTGACACAGGCAAGCGAAACAATTAACATACTTTAAAAATGCTAGTAAAGTTGAAGGACCTCAAAAGACCTCAAAAGGCAGGAATGAAAGAGCCCTTAGAGTATTCACTCACCCATTCATTTGCTCAATCATTACACAGAATTTGAGCAGTCTGATCTTTTGCATTTTAGGAGAAAACATAGTGGTACATTATTTGTGCAGAATTCTGTGTAGCCCTCTGCTAGAGCCCGTGCTTCTGAAATTCTGTTGGCTAAAATAAGTTCAAAGTAGTTTGTGTTCACAAATCACACTCAGTGTTTTATTCTCTAAGACCAAATTCTCCATGACAAATGCTATCCCCAAATTTGGGAAAAAATGAAAAGAATGCAAAGATTAATCCCAGGAGACCTTTTAAATAAGCCTTCCCCCCTCTACTTTCTTTTTGCTTTCAAAATTTTGCACTCAGAGAATAATAGGTGAACACTTTTGTGGCTAAATAAAACATGCAAATTGAAATTCTTGGGCTGGTAATTAAAGTAAGGTACTCACTGAGTGATGTTTATTTTCCAGCTCCCAGACTGTGAGTTTAGTTCCTTTTCAAGCCATATTTTTCTTTTTATTTTTTTCAATCACAGAGATTAAAGCAGGCTGAATTTACAATAGCATCTTGTAAAAGGAGGGGGTGGGGACCTGCACTGGTTTTAGCACTTTGATGTCTTCAGTGCGAAATCCATATTTTGAGAGACCTGATGGATCTAAATGGTATGTGGAATAAAAATTTCAGCCCTGAAGCTGTAGCCATTTGCAGATAAAAATGCCTGTGAGAAGTGAACGTTGACCTTCATCTCACATCTCACCGCAATCAAGTGTTTCCATTCTTCTCTGTGAAGGTTGGGTGATGTACGTAGCACACGATTGTAGTGCGTCCACTCTGCTGCCCACACAGTTATTAATAGCTGTTAACATTGGCTTGAAACTTTGGGCAATTCATTTGTGCTAGGTAAGAAAAGGTAGGAGAAAAAGACTTTCGAGGAACACACTGTTTTCTGTAAAACAAAGAAAACATCGTAAGAGTCCCTCTTTTGACCATTAGATAAACCTGCAAGATCTAACTGTAGTCAAGGATTGATGTCTTGAGGCTGGAATTGCCTCACTAGTTAGCTTTCACATGCAGGTGCTTTGGTGCAATTTTAGATATTTCATGGACCTTTGATCATATTCATAAGCTCCTGGGTAGCAGGCAGCTTTGAAATCCAATAAATATAAAAATCCAAGAATAAATTTCAAGAATTACTTTCCTGCTAAAAAGCTCAAGATAAAATTAATTTTGTTTCTGCTTTGAAGCCCCCTGGGTCAGATAGGGCATTTGCATCAAAGTGGATCTCAGGAGTTCTGGTACCTTCTGCTATCATGTTGTGTTTGTGATGTCATGAGTGGTTACCATGGAGGTAATTATCATGATGTGGGAGACGTGTGAATTCAGGTGTGGAGAAGCTCAGCAGTGAGAGATTGATCTTTGAGAAAAAGAGATAAATCTCCTTTCATTCCAACTTCCTTAATAACACAAGGAAAGCAGGGAAAAAATGTAAATATGATAACAGAAAATTTGCTTCTGAACAGCATAGCTTTTATGCTTTGCATACCATATGGGAAGGTTTTCCATTTATTTGTTTTTTTAAACATTATATTTTGGTCACATATTTTGTAGGAATGCTAAAAATAAATTTTATGTTCTTCCTTGGAAAATATATGGCTATGCTAGGAAAATACAATATCACGAAGCTCAGGGAGAACAGGAAAATCCTTTGAGTGATACTTAGAGACTCAAAGGTGGTATGTTTTTGCCCAGTTTGGGTATGGGGGGGAGGGGCTCCTGCAATCTGCAAACACTACAAAAATAAGATAACAGCCAAGCTAACAATGCAGCCAGACTGGCTTCCTGCTGGCATTTGACAAGCTAGGGAAATGAGACTGCAAAAATCCACAGGGAATTCTTTCCTCCTTTATGTTAATGAAGTACTGTACATTTCTTTCTTGGGACTAGGGTGGTACGGGTGAGGACTTGGGTGCTGCTAAGCAAGTATTTTAAGGAACTGATCCAGAAACCTTGTCTCTGGCTTGGAATAATCAATGTCATTACTGCTTGTTTGGAAGCTTTGTCTTTTCTTGGAGAGGATCCAATGCTGGCAGACTCAAGTAAATAGAGCTGTGGCTGGTGATAGAGGGACCCTGCTGAGTGGATAGGCTGAGTGTCCTTCACACTGGATTCTGTGTGAGACCTGGGTTCAAATACCAATTTTGCCACACTGTATTCTCTCTTTGACTTTCATCACAGCCCCTAACTGCTCTCTCTCATTCTATTAATCAAGTGGGACTATTATAACAACAAATGTATTGGACATAAAATACATATATTTTTAGGCAGTCCACATATACAAGGAACTAGTTATCTGGGGTTCCATGCCAGCACATGAACTTTTTGGCCTTACGGTACTCTTCCTGATCTACAAAAGACCACTGTCTTGGGAAGAAATGATATTTGCAGTCAACTCTGCATGACACTGCATTGTGGAAAAGAAAGTCATGCCCCTAGAAAGGACACTCCGTTCCTGGGGTCAAGTGCAAATTCCTTATCCTGGTACCTGAGGCTTTACCTAATTACCCTCCAGCTAATGCTTGTACTCTTGCTTCCTTACTCTGACAGGTGGTCTCTTCACTTTGAGCTGCTGGACACGCCTGCAGTCTTCCTTGTGGTTGTGTTTTCTTTCCTTATCTCAGCCTTGATCCTTCCTTGTGAACAGCACCTTGTAGCACATATGCATTATGTAGTTGTGCACTACATAAGGATCTCTGGCTAAGGCAGGGGGACAGGGGCTCAAGTCCAGCCCAATCATAAATCCTGCTGAGGATCTTTGCCTGGAGGAAAGACATTTTTTTTTAATTAGAAACAGAGCTTGAGTGGCTACATGCATTGATAATGCTAAATTTGCATTTATGTTTAACATATATTTTCACAAGATTATAAGCTCCTTGAGGATGCAGACTTTGGTTTGTTAAAATAATTGTGCAGATAAAATAATATAAACTGTTTTGAATTATCACAATTGCAAGAGAGATTGCACTAGAAGCTCTTTGTGGACAAAGCTTCTGTTTTTTTTTTCTCCTCTAAACCCTACACCTCAGAGGTCCTTAAATGAGAAATACATGTCCCCAAAATCTGATTGCTCACTTACCTGTAGTGACAGAAAACATTAATGAGTTTCTCCTTTTTAAATTCTGCAGTACCAGTCTTGGCTTCTTGCATAGGAAAATGAGGAGTAAAATGGCAGATTTCCATGAGAGAGATTGATTCTGGGCCTTAGATAAGGCTTTTGGGTGTGAGTTGAAATCACTTACTTTCAGAGGAGCAGTGCAGTGGAGCTGTGTGGTGGTGACCTGTCCCTTACCACTGTCTCAATGGTGTCTTCTATGTGCTGAGGACATCAGGAAGGAATCAGTGTCTCTGTTCCCAAGGTGTTCCTAGATCATTACTGAGGATCACAGACACATAGGCAAATGGTCATGACCTGACACAAGGGATGTCACTGTAGCAAGAGGAAGTACAGAGTCTATGAGCTCACTGTGAGGCAGCAGAGACCTGCTCTGTCCATGTGGGGACAGGCACGAGTGGAGAGAGTAGAGAAAGAAAGTGACTTTTACTGGTAATACAAAACAAGCTCATTCATGTTCACAGCTGCTTTTATAATCCATGGGCTGGTGACTTTCAAAATGTATGTCTCTATCCAAATGCAGATCTCGGTCTCAGCTCCATCCTTTACTGGTAGTTTTACCTGGAAGCCTCAAAGGTTTCTTAAATGCAATCTGTGCCAAAATATTCTCCAGCTCTTTTTAGCCAAGTCTTATCATATTCTGAAGTTCCATCTTTCCAGATGGTACCGCCCATCCATCTGTTTTGGTAAACTCTGGTTTGGTAAATTAATTTGCTTGGCTTACTGTCTACTCCCAGCTCCCAGTCCAAGTTTATATCTGCATCTCTTGTCTGGAATGGATTCAATTTCCTCCCCAACATATGTCCATGTCCACTCTGGGCCTACCAGAGCCTTCTCACAGCAGCTGGAATGTGAGTGTGATCATATCATGTGTCCCCCAAACTACCCTCTTTAGTGGGGGACCACTAACGCCTCTTAATGCTTTTTCATTTCTCTTAAGATATAGATTCTAATACTCAGCATAGCCTCTTAGGTGTCTCATAGGCTCTGCAAACTTCCCTAGCTTCCCTCACCTACCCCAGGCCTAAATGCCCTGAGTGGCTCTGGCCTGTCACAAGTCCTAGGGCTGAGAAGTTTTGCTGGGGTGCTCTTTTCAACTCCTACCATCCTTCGTTCTTTAGGCTGTGTCTAATTCATCTCTTCTCATTTTTAAGGAATCAGCTCAAATATCACTTCTTGCATGAAAGCATATTTTCTCATCAAACATCACAGACTATATAAATGAACCGCATATTTCGTTTTGTGGTTATTTTATTGATGTCTTATTCTCCCTGAAAGGTTGTTAGCACCTGCATTCTGGTTGGATTTTCCCTGTACCACAGATCCAGTGCCCAGTGCAATGCATGATATACTATAGATTCAATGAAACTTTTATTGAATAAATGAATACAAGAATCTTGTTCTGAAATGAAGAGCCAAACAGTAGGAAGTAGCTAGAAACATGGCCTGCAATGATTTTTGTGGCTCAGTGTATGACAGTGGAGAGTAAGGTTGTTGTAACAAAGGACACATGGTAGGAGGCATCTGATGTAGACAACCTGAACTGGGACTGTGGAAGGACAAATGGAGGGGTAGAATATCTTTTCTTGTTGCTGAGACAAAACACCCAACACCTAAAGTTAAAGGAGGAAAGGCTTACTTTGGCTTACAGTTTGTAGAGGTTTAGTCCATAATTGGCTGGCTCTGGGGCAAGGTGGCATGGCAGAGGAGCATCACAGCGGAAAAATGTAGTTCATGGCATGGAAGTGGGAGGAGGCAAAAACAGCAAGCAGCAAGTGATGGCAGCGAGTGACAGCAACAGCCTCTTTCTGTCCCATCTATTCTATCCAGGTCACATGCCCTTAGGGTGGGTGGTACTCACACCTAGGTGGACCTTCCTGCTTTCCACACCAGAAACTATGCCAAAAAAAAAAAAAAAAATCAGTGAACTATTTATTAACACACATTCTTAATCCCAGCATTATACACTCTAGACCCGCCCTTCTCTGAAAAGCTCCACCTATGACTGCTTTGGGGGGACATCTGGACAAGGCATAACATAGGGACAAATGATATTTAGTATTATCCATTTTTTCCTCCTAAGGAAGGTAGTAAAGGGAGCAAGGGACTTTACATGATTTAGAATTTTTAGCTTGCCTAACCTGCACCTCTCTGACGTATATGGGGAAGAGTGAGAAGAGTTTCCTAGTTGATGTGGGAGTCATCAATCTGGGAGACTTTCTTCTTTCCTGGGCATATGTGGCCTGTGGAATACGGGAGTCTTTTAGTTTATTTGGGTGGCTATAACTAATTGGCATACATTAGATGACTTACAAACAGCAGAAATTTTTTCTCACAGCTCTAGAATCTGAGAAGTTCAAGATCAGGGTGTCAGCATGAATGGGGTCTGATGAGGACTCTCACACTGGCCTCTTCTAAGGGTACTAATATCATTCATGAAGGCTCTATCTTCATTATTATGTTGCCTTCTGAAAAGTCGCCTCCAAATACTATCCCAGTGAAGATTAGATTTCAGTGTAGGAATTTAGAGGGGACAGACACTTTGAGTCTATACAAGGAGGACAAGGTGATGTTAGGACCTGCTGTTCTGAGGTGTTGTTGGATTGGTATATAAGAGGGCATGGAATAAAGGGACACTTCATTTTCCTATCTTGGCCTGAGATGTCCATCATGACATCCTATTTTAACTGAAATCCCCTTAAGCATATTAAAATAAAGGATATTTTGAGGGTGGCATAGTATGAAATGCAAACTGGTCTTGGAACCAGGAAGATATGTAACACACAACAAAGCATACTTACCTTGCTTTGAGTTTGGGGTCACGCCTCTCATTTGGTTACACCTTTCTGTGGTTCCTATCTTCTGGGTCACAAATGTAATACTAAAGTGCTATACTGGTTGACGTAGACAGAATACAAACTTGATGCTACTAAATTTTAACTTGTGGGAAATATGTCTCTTACTGATGTAGCACCCTCTTCTAGAATATCACCAACATAGTAGTACTACTGTGTTGATAGTGTTTATGGCTGTTGCAAGTTTTGGCTTGCCCAGTTCTGGCTCGTACTGTTCGTACAGACATGGCATCCCCAGGAATTGTGCAAGATGACCATTATGTCCACGGAATGTGTAAGGCAGACACTAACTAAATTTTGCTGGCTCAGAATGGTGAAATGCCTTGCTCAATGTCATGTGACAAGTAAATGCTGGAACTGCAGTCAGGGCCCAGCTTCCAAATCTAAATCCAGTCTTAATTTTGCTGCTGCCTCCTGGCTGATCACTGGCTGAGTAAATGAGTGAACAGGGTAAAGGCAAAGCTTCTGTTCAGGAGCCAAATGGGCACACAGGGTAATGGTTTATTTTGAAAGGCTCTGAGTTCCATCAGCAGAACAAGCAGCCTTAATCTGCAGCTCACTTGCCTGACAGGGCGAGCCCCAGATGATGTAGCTTGGGGGACATTTTTTCTACTTTGTTTCCTAAATCCCTTGCATTTTCCTGGCCATAACTCCCTAGCCTGTCTTGTTCTTTCAGGGGTCTTATTTTTAGTGATTACCAGGCCATCCTATTCCATAAAAACTACGTTATTGTTTCAACAAGGAAGCAGAAAAGACAGAATAGCCTTTAAAACACAAAGGAATTAATCTACCAGCATAGCATTCCTTACCGGATTGGAGAGTCATAAATCTGTGGGTTCTTTTGTGGGAGATGAGGAAAAGACCTTATAAAATCACATAGTGCAGAGAAGAAACTGGAGACTCCAAAAGTTATTAGGATTGTTGGGGATTAGAACCTATGCTTTTCCCATTATATCACTTTTCCTGTAGCATTTTAAATTGGTATCTCTCAGACACATTTTTCATCCTATTTGCCTGGGAACAGCCTTGCTTTTTCTTGCTTTTTCATATATGCCCCATTAATGTTTAGGGGAGCATGAGGACAGTGTCAAGGATAGAGGGAGTGTGGACAGCAGTGTCCCAGACCCTGGTGTGACCTGAGATCCCTGCTTTTAAATGCCATTATGAAATGCAGTCTGTCTAAAGCTCAGTGTCTCTTCCCATCAGACTAATGCAGCTGGGGTGGAGGGGCAGGCTGGCGGCTGGCTGCCTGGCAATCTCTTGGAGTCCGGGAGAGGGATTATGCTCGCTCAGTGGGCCTCATCACTGTAATAAAAATGGGAGTGATGTTTATCGACTCATCAGGAATACCCATTTAGACGATTACCCCATTTCCAATCCTATTTCTAGAGAAAAGAGGATTGCCGGATGCTGGACACTTCCTCCCGCCCTACCCCCACCACCAGCAGGATTGTGTTAGTCGGTGGTTTCAAGAGGGGGTGTGTTTGAGGTAGGCACACGGCAGGCTGAGGGAGCTGCCCTCTTTGTCTTCTAGATCTGGCAAGACACAGTGGGATGGCTTTCCCCTGAGAGGTAGGAGAGGAGAAACAGCCCAGCAGGAGCCTGGAGCAGCTGGCTGATGTCACTGATTTCCTGCAGGGGACTTTGCTGACCGAGTCCACATCACTCTCACTCTTCTCTTTCCCCTCCGTGTTCTCGCAGGTGTCACTAAAATAAGCAAATGCAACTTTGGGCTGTGCTAGGCCAAATTTATTTAACCTCATATCTGTGGAACCTGGGTATAAAGCAACATCACTTATTTGAATAAAATGGGGAGGCGGTTTCCCTGGGTAGCAGGAATGTTTATTATAAACTTTTGGCTGCTGCACAGGAAAGCCTCTGGGGTCTGGTTGAGAGACCCCATAACTGCTATTTCACATAGAGATCTAATTAGTTTGATAAGCTGCTCTCTGACACCTGAGCAAGTAGGAAGCACAGTCTTGCAGGTGAGAGAGGATTGTCATCAGTTGGAACTGAGAGTTGAATTAAATAGAAGAAATCCTGTGGATGGAATCCTGCTCAAAGAGGGGTTTTGGATGAATAGCCCCTGAGATCACCTCCCTCTAACACTGCACTTCAGGGCTTTGAATATCTGTGGTTGGATTGTGTTTCAGGGGCACAGAAGAGGAGAAAGGAGACCTCAGTGGGGAGCTGGTGCTTAGCAGGGAGTGTGGCCTTTGTTTTGGGGAGGCCTTGAGTTTTGGTGCTCAGGAATACTTGCCTGCTTTTGTTAAGTCCTCCAGGCTCAGTGTCTGTTCTCAACCCTCCATTCTTTGCCAGCAAGAATGAATTCTTAGAGATGTTTATAAAGAGAGTATTGTGAGGTTTGGGGGTAAGGCAGGCCTGTGTTCAGATG